CCGGTACGTGGATGGACGCCCTTGGGCCGGCGCGGCCCCGGCCGGCCGCGCGGAGGCGGGGGGCGCCCGCTCGGCCCGCTCCGCCGCCCCCGCTGGGGCTGCGGTCGCAGGCAGGAGCCCGGCGGCGGCCTCGGCGTGGCGGGCGGGAGGACGGGCCCCTGTCCTGGCGACGGCCGGAGCCGGTCGCGCTCGGGTGCGAGAGGCGGAGCAGCGGCCATGACTGCGCAGCCTCTTCCGCCGGAGCCCGCGGAGCTGCCCGGGGTGGCCGGCGGGTCCCGGTCCTTCCCCCTCGGCGGTGGGGCCAGGCCTCCGCCCGGGGGCCTTCTGGCCTCCTGGCGACGGGGCCGGCGGGCCTCTGCTCCCAGCTTCCCGAGTGGGGACAAGCCCTCGGGGCCCTGGGTCCGATCGAAGCCGGGCGGACCGTGTCTGCATTTTGTCTGCTCCCAGTGTGTCTTCGGTTGCTGCTTTCTCTTCTCTCTCTCCGGTCCCTCTTCTCCTCCGCCCGCTCAGCGTCGGGGTCTTGCCTGACCGAAGAGGGCGATCCCCCTCCACCTTGTGCTGGTGAAGCCCAGCTCCGCTGACCCTTCGTTGTTGTGGCGGCCGTGGAGGCATCGGGACAATGAAGGAGGCTCGCAGGGTATCGATCCTCCAGCCTCCTCGGCCCCTGGGCATCTTGAAAGCCGAGGCTGTCGCTTTGTTCTTGTGCTTGTGGGGTGCGGGCTTCTCCTCTTGCCCTCTATCCCGTCTGGGAGAGTGCGGGTCTTCCATTGTTGTCGCTGTTTGTTTTCCGAAGGCTTCTAGAGACGGGCTTTGCAGTTGTTTTTCCGAGGGTGGGGATGGAACCGTGCCCTCCACAGGTGAAATCCCCAGGACTGTAAGTTGGCACACGCATTCTGGCAACTAGATTTTTTTTTACTAAGCCTTTCGGCATATGATTTTCTTTCCTCTGAGTGCCATTCGAGTGAATGCTTATTATTTCTCAAGTTTTGGACATTTTGTTAAGAAATGCATATGTTTGTAATATTGAAACGGTGTGGAGCTGAGAGGGGAGAAGAAAGCCAAGAGATGATAGAAAACGCTTTGTTCTTTGTATGATTGACATTTCAGGTGTTGGGTGCACCCCCCCCCACCGACGTGTGTGTACTTTTCAGATGGGATGTGAACCTATAACATTGGCATTGGAAGCAGTATATAATTCTAGAACTTGGAAGATTGAGGGCATTTTAGCCAGTGGATCTATATTTAGAATTTTAAAAGACGTGGCATGTAAGGACACATGAAGAAAATGACCCACACGAATAACAGGATTTGTGATGTTGGCTTTGCTGTCTCATGACTAGAAAATATGAAAAAAAATCGTATTGTTTGTGTTGAGTGTCCTGGTGCTCTGAAGCGAAAATAGGTCAAGTAAATCTCATTTTAAAGACAAAACTGGAAGAGCGAATGCCACTCTAAAAATAGATTTTGGATGTGTTTGTTTTGGCCTTGTATATTTTAAACTGAGGGATGTTGTTAAGCCCCATCTTTGATTTAGAATTTGTGTCTCAAAAGGGCCAGTGTATGTTGTGGGCAGAATGAAAATACAGTTGGAGATTTTTGTTATTTGTTGATTGTTCAGAACTTGGTAGAAGTATAATCATCAGGAGAACTTTCTCCAAATAGCTGGTCATTAGACAAGAGGAAGAAGAAATATTTTTTTAGAAGAGGTGTCAACTGGTAAACTGTTTTGTTTCACTGTGTACCAACTTGAATTGTCAGTAGAAAGGAGCAGACCTTTTTTGAAAGGATTCAAATTGATGTCTTGACTTAAAGAAAGATAGATTGATGTGTTTAAGTAATATTATAAGTTAGCCATATACTAGCATGAAACGCCTGATAACATTGTCAATTGGGAATTTGAATGCTTACTTTTCTCCAGTGTTAGTAATAGAAGGTACTTAACCTTTTCTAAGATCTTACCTGGTTGCTTTATGTTTAAGGAATCGGATTTTGTGAAACAACTGGCTGGATTAGAAACAATCTTTGAGGGAATAGAAATCAGTTTATTAAGACTTGGCTACGACCACCTGTGCTTTTATGAACTCTAGTTTTATGCGTATTACTTTTGGGGTTAATTAAAACCCAAATTGTTAAATGGTTGCTAATTAAATAATTTAGAACTTAGAATTACTGAATTATGTCATAGGGTGAAATAACGACGACATGGGAGTCATGACTTGACCAAGGTAACACCAATTTTTAGTCAAAGCTCTTTTCCTATTTACAAAATGGTTGCTGCTTATGAAATTTATATGTTGAATTTGATTAAAAATATTTATTCATATTTGCATTTCATGTTTATTGAAATAAAATGCAAAACCCACATTTTTAAGGGAAAATATAAACATCTAATGCTTAAATATGAAGATTGTGAAGGCAGTAAATAGATTTTCATACAGTAATGTGTTTTAAGGGAAGTAATATGCAATTAGGGAAATAATTCTGTAAAATAGCACATCATTCAGTTGACGTGAGTTTTGACTGAAGACTTGTTTTCAAGTATGATCTATGCTTTTTTGTATGCTGATTTTAGCAGGGATAATGAAGGCTAAAAATGGAAACACTAGGGCATTTATTTACTTCTCTCAATTTCAGACTCTTTCTTAAGAAATATTAAGATGTATCTGCTAACCAAACCTAATGGATCTACTCTTTTTTCTGGTATTTGTTTATTTATTTAGTTGTTTGCCTGAAGTTGGGACATTTGAAGTCAATGTTCAATGAGAGTTTTCATATAGAGCATTTCCTGTTATGTGTATTTTGAAGAAAGAAAGTACTAAAACTATTTTATTAGACATTAGCTGTTAATAATTGGAAACATACCGGAAGTCTTCAAATACTTTGATTTGGCATTTATGGTTTTATTTATATGTATATTGATGTTATATGCACACCTTTTTTGATTAAAGATAATCATTTACTTGAATCTTATCTGAAAAAAAAATCTTGACTTTCTCTGAGCTTGTGACTGACTTGAAGAGTGGGTGAATGAGTTTGTTGAGTGGTCACAAATTATACATAGCACAGTATTACTTCATTTAGTTATACTTTTTAAATTTTCTTGGTTGAATGGGTAAAGATTTAAATTCATTAATATTCTCTAACCCTTTTGTATACCCTAAATTTTCATCTGTCGTTTTTTTGTTTTTCTCCAGAATTGTTAAGGGCAAAGTATCTAATTCAAATCTTTTCTCTTTTATGAAACATTTTTAAGACATTATCACATTGAGTTTGGTGTATAATGTGCAAGTCAGGAATTATGTATGCTTGACGTATTTATGTTTGTCAAATTAATTCTGGCCTGTGATTAAAATTATAATGTTTTCTCTTACATTCTCCTGTGGGTTAAAATAAAAGTATTCCCTCTGTGCCCTTCCCTTTTAGGAAATTTTTGCTTTCAAATAATGTAGACGTTTTCTGAAGGCTTCCTCATGTTACTGTTCTGACCCTTGCAAACATACCCTATTCGGTGTCTAGTTGACATTACAATTGACCCTTGAACAATGTGGATTTGAAGGGTGCAAGTCCACTTATATGAGAGTTTTTTTCTGCTTCTGCCACCCCTGAAACAGCAAGATCAACACTTCCTCTTTCTCCTCCTCCTCAGACTTCAATGTGAAGATGAGAAGGATGAAGACCTTAGGATGATCTGTTTCCATTTATTGAATAGTAAATACATTTTTGTTCCATATTAGTTTTTTTGTTGTTGTTAACATGAGAAAGCAAGATTTATTGAGAGGACAGAGAAACTCCCACAATGGGAGGGGACCCAAGGAGTTTGCCCCTTTATTAGTTTTTACATAATATTTTCTTTTTTCTAGGTTTGTTGTAAAAATACAGCATATAATATGTATGCTAAATATGTGTTAACCGATTGTTTATGTTGTTGATAAGGCTTCTGATCAACAGTAGTTAAGTTTTTGGGGAGTCAAAATTTATACAAGGATTTTCATCTGCATGGAGCCAAGGGGGTGGGTATTCCTAGCTCCTGGCGTTGTTCAAGGGTCACCTTTATAATTCTGAGCTGGTGAGTTAGTTTGGCAGAATTGGGCCCACCTAAGCTTGTTAACTTTGATTAAAACAGAATATCCAATTTCTCTTTTTATCTGTGGATGAATTAACATGGAATTCATTTTCTTTATTTGACAATTCCTGTAGTAACTTGTCAGTTTTGTGTTTAAGATGATTAAAAATGCAAGACATTCTAGACCTGCATTGCCCAGTGTGGTAGCCACTAGCCACGTGGAGCAGCTATTGAACTCTTGATATGCAGCCAGTCTGAATTAAGTTGCGCTGTAAGTGTAAAATACACACTGGATATCAAAAAGTATATATACAGATGTACAAGAATATAAAATATCACATTGAATTTCTGTTGAAATGGTAATATTGTAGGTATATTGGGTAAATAAAATGTACTATTGAAATTAATTTTACCTGTTTTCTTTTTTTAAATTCTTAATGTGGTTAATAAAAAAATTGAAATTACATATGTGGCTTGCATCATATATCTATTAGATAATACTTTTCTAGACCTTTTCCCTGACAGACTGTACATGGTAGAAAGGATTTTTTTAGAGATGTACTTGAGTTAGACCTCCGTCTCCCAATATTAGTAGCTCTGGGACTTTGGATAAGTTATTTAACTTTCTGAGCTTGGGTTTCCTCATTTGTAAAATGGGTTATAGTCGTATTTCACAGGCTTGTTTTAGGTTTCAGTGATATAGTAGATTCAGTAATGCTACACTAACTTTAATTTTCATATAAATCACCTGGAGATCTAATTCTGTAGATATAGGGTGGGGTTTCAAGATTTCATATGTGAGGAGCTCCTGGGCAATGTTGATACCAGTGGTTGGGGACCCAATTTGTTTGCATAGCTAAGATCTAGATTGCTACGTAAATTTTAGTTCATTTTCTTTCTCCAACCTTTACTACCCACTTAGTCTCTACTTGGAAAATTATTTATGGCACATAGAAATTGGAAAATTATTTATGGCACATAGAAATTGCAAGATTTCCTAAAATTGTATGAACTGTGCACTCTTAGGAATACTGCAGGCTTCCTGCTTACACCAACCAGTAAAGCTTTTTGTCTGCTTTTAGCTTGAGACATTTTAGTTGGTTGGGTATTATTGATAAGTCTCAGTCTGGAAGAGCCAAGTTATGTTGCTTTGCAAATGTAATTTTGAAAGATAATGCATAATTAAAATTAAAATGATTTTTAAAATGCTCAAAGACAATATAAGTTGTCCCTTGAACAATGTGGGGACTTATGGCCTCCAACACCCTGCACAGTCAAAAATTTGAGTACAAGTTTTGACTCCCCAAAAACTTAACTACTAATATCCTTCTGTTGATCAGAAGACTTACTGACAATATGGGCCATCAATGAACACATATTTTGTATGTTATAAGCATCTAACAATAAAGTAAGCCAAATAAAAGAAAATCACAAGGAAGAAAAGTACATGTACAGGAAAATATTTATCAGTACTGTAAGTTTGCATTGCCTCTTTACAAGATGAATTGTCTGTTTGAAATGGTGGCAGCTGCTGGCCTGAGTCTAGGGAGCATATCAAGCAATTCGGCTTTTTCTTGTAATGCCATGACTTCCGTGCTTCTTAGGGGCACTTCCATCATCACTAGTGGCACTTCATATGAGTTCCTTCGTGTCATTCAAGATTTACACTTTTGCACTAACCATGGTGAAAAAGACACAAGAACAAGTTGGGTATGGTGGCTTGTGCCTGTAATCCCAGCACTTTGGGAGGCCAAGGCAGGAGATTTGCTTGAGCCCAGGAGTTTGAGACCAACCTAGGCAATATAGTAAGACTCTATTGTGACGCATCTGTAGTCCTGGCTACTTGGGAGGCTGAGGTGGAAGGATTGCCTGAGGCCTAGAGGAAGAGGCTGCAGTAAGCCATGATCATGCCACTGTACTGCAGCCTGGACAACAGTAAGACCCTGACTCAAAAACAAAACAAAACCCCACAAGAGCAAGAGATCACGTTTTTTTGCAGTGTACAACTTTCTGGAGAGAGAAACCGCTCCCTTGGAGTTGATTAGTGTCATAGGGCATATGAGGAAATTTGTAATACTGGATCTCACTGCAGTAGTCATAGGATGTGGCTGGGAAATTATTACCATAGCACGGTATGTACTATAGCTAATTTTATGCAACTGTAATTTAATACTACATCTTTATGCTTGTTTACATTTCTCTTGACTGGTCAAGAGACTATATGGTCTTTGCATAAGTTTTTATGAACTTCTTTTAATACATCTGTATATTTTATGATAGTATTAGGTGCATTACAATACAGTATCTATGTATATTTGATGCATTCATGACATATCTTTGCCTTTTTTTATACCTACAGAGAGTGCCATAAAAAGGTATACACAATTGAAGGGATGTTATCTGTGTATTACTCTTCGAAGTTGAATTGAATTACAGAGGCAATGTGTAGTGTGGTGTTTGCTCAAAAGATGGTGTTAATCAAATGAATGCTAGTGTCATTATGCAACAGGCAGGACGGAGAAAATGACGGAAGCATGGTTGTCGTTCAAGGAATGCAAGACCATTTTGAAGTGGTGTTTGAAATTTGAGGACATTGTGGAAATACGACAGTGGAGGCATGAGTATACAACAGAACCTTCAACCTGCCTAACAATCACATGCGTTCATACTAAGTTTGAGGCACATGGTACTGTGTGATGTGTACAAGGGAAGACCCAGGAGGCCTCACACAGCAACAAGTCCTGCTTCTTTTGCTCTGATGTTAAAACAGTTTATACATTTGCCACAGAAGTCTACTAAACAGTGTGCACCTCTTGTCATTGCAGAAGTCACACGTGACTTGTAGTCATCTCTTGTTATTGGTTTATATTCAGTATTACAATTTTAATACAGTTTTTTCCTTAAAATGTGTATATATTTTTGACATCCTCTGAATATTTCTAGGCGTGTGTGGCTTATTTATGAGTGTTTTCAAATTGTTGTAAATCTCCAAAATTTTATTCAATGTATTTATTGAAGATGATTTGTGCATACAGGTGGACCTGTGAAGTGCAATCCTGTGTTGTTTAAAGGTCAACAGTATTAGATTATTTTTTATTAAAAATCTTGGAAGAAATGAAATCATCAAGATTTGAAAATGAGAGGAAGGTGTTTCTAAGAGAG